ACATATATAGTGAAAATATATTCGACAAACATTCCAGACCTGCTCATAACCTAAGTCATACATACAGGTAAGCTGTCCATGGGATGTGCACAAATAGCCAGCTGCAATCCTCTCCATTGAAAGAGTCTCCCAGAAGTCCTCTGAATTCACCTCCCCATTGTAGGTTTCATGTGGTTCACTTATGTCACAGACTGGATAAAGAACAGAAATTACATTTACACAACTTAGCTGCAAACTAGAAAATGAAATAAATAAATAAACCTGTGCCTTATTTTTTTACCTGCCATGCTGAACACTCCCTTTCTGTGTAAATCCATTACAACTGGAGGATGATGAGCACATTTTAGACATCAAGTTATAATCATGGTGGGTCAGTGCCTCAAAATGTAAAAATGCATGTTTTTGCAAAGATGCTCTTTTAGGGCACCTTTATTTGCAGGTCTGTAGACACTGACAGCAAATGTTTGGTCTTTTGACCAGCCAAACCACAGCTGTATATAACAATCTAAAACAGAGGTGAAAAAAACCCGTCTTTGTTAGTACACGTTTTAAAAAATATATTTTATAGACATTTTTTGAAGCTATGCTTACACCGTCACCTCCATGTTCAACAGATCTTAGCTTATGTCCAGCTATATGGGTCATTATTTGATGATGCTGGCTTTGCTTGTATATGTGCACGTGCAGAAAGGGCATGTGAATAAAATAGCATCTGCATGGCAGAGCTGTGGTTGAGGATCTTTACCTCTCCTCTGAATTGTTATATATTGTAATTGTTTGGGTTTTTTTTCATTTAAGTGACAAACAGATGCATCAACATAGAATATGTAGGCCAATGCTTCACGATAGATTGTGGCTGGAAGTAGATTTTTTGGAGCTTTTTATGACTATGGCTAGAAAAGTAACAAACTAGATTAAAAAGTTTGTTGAGACAAACTTTAAGTTGGCTTGAGAAAGCGGGACCAGATAGTTTGAAGAAGTTTTAAGAAGTTTTAAAAGCTTTAAGTTTAAAGTAGTTTAAAGTTTGAAGATTAAAGTAATAGATAGATAGATAGATAGATATAGACAGACAGACTTCACCTACAGAACAACATCAGTAAGTTGGCTTTTTCAAGCCAACTTAATTAATCAAAAACGTTAAACAAATTGGAAACAATCCACTTACATTCACATGCAGGCGATCTCTCAATAGCAGATGGTGCTTGTGCTTGTGCTTCTCCGCATCAAATATTGGGGTTGACGGGGAAAAAACTTTGCCAACTCAATTTGAGCAATCTGGCATTAACATTAGCAAGCAGCATCATCCAACCAAGTCTGCAATTGCCTTTGTTCGAGCAGGAGAGAAGCCTCAGCCCCCTAGAAAGACCCAAGGGGGCGTCCTCGCAACAGCAAGAGACTGGCACCTCCTGGTGGACCTGGGGACCCAATTGAGGTTCCCAGACACCATTGCAGTTACATCACTACGACCGGACATGGTCTTGATGTCCGCAGCAAGTAAGCAGGTGGTGTTACTGGAACTAACGGTCCCCTGGGAAGATAGAATGGAGGAAGCCCAGGAAAGAAAGAGGGCCAAGTACGCTGATCTGGTAGCGGAGTGTCGGAGGAATGGGTGGAAGGCCCGCTGTGAGCCTGTTGAAGTGGGCTGTAGGGGCTTCGCAGGCCAGTCTCTACACCGGGTCCTGGGACTCTTAGGGATTTGCGGACTGCACAGGCAAAGAGCCATCAAGAACATCCTGGAAGCCGCTGAGAGGGCAGCACGGTGGCTCTGGTTAAGGAGGGGGGACGCGTGGCGTAGAGCGCTACCTGGACACAAGTCGGGGCTTGATCACCCCCGGCTGGGTCGCCCGGGTGAGGGTGTCTGATGTAAGACCCGAAACACCCTATGACCCCGGGAGTATCACTGACGATGTGTCCAGGTTGCACCACAAGGTGTATTCAAGTACCGAGCAAACCAGGTAAAGAGGTGGAAAAACGCCTATTTCAGTTTGAAGACGCCCAAAAATCGGGGAAACACCCTTTTTTGTTCCACAGAGACCTCAAACAGAGACCTCAAACTCCCGAGAGCAGTCAGAGAGGGATATCCAGCGCCACCACCAGGCATTGCGGAGGAGTTCGCCAGCTGAGGAGTGCCATTTTACTCCTGGTTCTTGGTTTCCACTGGTTCCTCTTTCTTTATAACCTTTGGAGGCCGGCTGCGTGGCATCAGCTTTTTTCCGATCTGCAATAGAGATGTGATTTTTAAGTCAGCATCACACTATTGATCCATATTAAAATATTTAATGAGCAAGACAAAAGTACGGGGGAAGTAGTGCTGGTTCCGTGTGCCACTTACTATTTTCACAGGAGGAGAAAGAGCTCTCTCCAGTCTTTTCTGCCTCCGTTCCTCTCGCAGTGCTTCCGCCTCAGCTTGTTTCTGTAGCCTGTCACTGTGAAAGAGAGAAAGCAAGAGTGAGATTATCAAGAGGTCACTCAAACCATAAAATTATGATCATCACAGTAGCTTTATCGCTTTGTGTCATAAACACAAGTATTTTTATATCTTACCACATAGCATAGTCTTTCAAAATCTGCTTCAGTAGTTTGCGGATTTTCTGAGGTCGCGTGTTTTCCAACAAGTCTAAACTCCAGTCATTAAGGTCTGACAGAATTTCAAGTGGAAAATCAGGGCTGCAGAAACGGTCAAAGATCTCCAAGTAAACGTCCGCCATCTTCTCACAGCACTCTCTGTCCTGGTGAGACAAAAGCAGAATTATGAGATCACATGTGACAGATCAGCCGTAGTCTTTTATTACATCTGGATGTGTGTGATGCTGTGAAGGCTTTAGATGGGACACGCTGTGCACTTACGTTCGTTTTTCTAGAGATGGTGTCCGACTTGGCGCTTCTTCTCATTAGGTTGTTTAGTTTTTTTAGTTCCTCTTGCTTTCGTTCAATGATGAGAGCCATGTTCTGCACCTCCTCTTTACTGGGGGCGGCCTTCTCTTGCCTGCACAAAAACACACAGAGCAAAAACAGGGTCAACACACTGTCGTCAGTTCCCACAGATCAGAAAGTGTGAAGGAATGAACCCATGATTGTGCACAAGAAACTTACATCTTTTTCTTTTTAGATTTTTCACACTTAATGAGCTTTTTCTCTTCATGCATTTCATCCACAAAGTTAATATTTTCCCACACAATAGATGATGAAAGGTCCGTCAGCAGACGGTACATCTCCTCTTCATCTTCCTCTTCCTCTTCAGGTTCTGTCAAAACCATCCCTTCCATTTTATTTTCACTGACTTTTCTGAAAGAGATTACAGTAACAGAGATGGATATGAATAATGTTATCAAAAGCAGTATCTTCAGTATCTGGGATCTGCAAAAATAGCATATTGCACATTGGCATGTCAGTACTATTGTGCTGACCTCTCAAGAGCTTCAAGATTTCTTTCCGTTTTTATCCGTGTCCTGTTCGCATCCTGAGCCCTGAAACATGACGAAATGAAAATCAGTGTCTGGCAAACAGAGCTATATAAAATGAAACTGGATTATTTTTTACAAACCAACTTTTAACAATGATTGAAAAGTAATTACGCTTGTTTGGCCTCTGGTGCATACTGGACTTCAAGACAGGGTTTAATAATGGACAAATCATTTCCCGCCTTCAGCTCTTTTTTAGATATGGCACTTTCCTTCTGAGATATACATTGGCCCCGAATACAAAGGTTTTCTTTTCTTTCCTGTCTATAAGAACACTGAGAAAGAAATAGAGAGAAAGGTTTGAAGACTACAGATGATACACACAAATGAAAAACCTAATCCACACAATTTACAAGCAGTAGATATTTCATATTTCAAAATATCATCTTCATTTGAACTGGAACAAACCAGAATATACAAAATTCACTTACTTTATAAATATTTTGTCGTGAAAACTCAGCCTTGCGTTGCACAGCCCTGATGCCGTATTCAACTAAAGTCGTCGTCTTCCTCTGAGCTGGTGGGTGTGGACACAGTCCTGTATAAAACATCACATTTATTTCATGTTAATTGTCATAAAGAAACGTATGTTTACTTCATACTCAAGTCAGAGCCATAGAGAGAAAGAGTTGCGACACTCCCATAGACCTCCGTTGTAAAAAATGGCGGCGCTTTTAACCGCCTACTTCCGGGATATGGAGCTCGGATTAGTTCCAAACACTGGCATTTGGCTGTTGGACCCCATTCACTTACATTGCTGCGCGTCGAGTTGTTCCAGAGATAAGTTGCTGAAATATTGACCTCTTTTGAATTGTCAACTGTCTATATTGTATCAGAGGCTCTTTGCGATGCTTATACTGGTCTTCATTTGTATATGCACAGCGTAATTATTTATATTTTATCTTGGTTGTTTCAACCAATTTTCAAGCACTGCCTGCTAGCTTAACGTTAGTTAGCTAGCGCGCCTCCGTCAGGCTGTGACAGTTCGGTAATGAATCGCTACCACCTTTATAATATTCATATTTTCAGGCTCCCTCTCCTAAAGTTAAATAGGCCTAATGTTACTTTTAATAATTTGAAACCCCATGTTTGCATCTGCCTTCCCAGCAAGCAATAGCCCTCATTTCACCGTCTAGGTTAAATATAGACCCGATATAGTCCGGCTATGTGTAACCCACTTCTAGCCAAAATAACACGAATCTGGTTACATGTATTTTTTTCCAAAATAACTTGCAAAATCTATGATATTCCATCATGTAAGGAAAGTCAACTGTGATTACAAGGTGTTTGGTTTGTTTCATTTCTGTGACGCTTTCTATGTGTAGGCTGTGCGTAGCCACGATCTAGCTCGTGATCAGCCCGGCTTTTTATAGCCCACTTATAGTCGAAACATGATTAATTGTAGTTTTAATTAATTGTTGGGCAGGCAACGCATGAGATGGTTGATATCCCATCATGTTCGCATCTACAAGGTGCCAGTGTCATTTCATGACATGGTCGATCTGTAGTCACGATTTAGATTTAAATAAAACCTTTATATTTAATTTGTTTGGATGGATTGTCATTTATGAGAACCTGTTATATTTGAGTGAAAAGAATCCTTTAGCCATCATTTTGTTGTCTATTACATGTATATGTGTAGTCGTTTAATAGCCGTCTAATTGATGACTAGTCTATTCTTGGGCTACGGTTCGACGTCTATTAGATTTTCACTGACAGCCCAAATTCAGCCTTGTTTTAGCCTAGACCCATATGCACTGTCTATTAGACGTATATATGTAGTCGTTCAAAAGCCGTCTAATTGATGACTATTCTTGGGCTATGGTTAGACGTCTATTCTTGGGCTATGGTTAGACGTCTATTCTTGGGCTATGGTTAGACGTCTATTAGATTTTCACTGACAGCCCAAATTTAGCCTTGATTTAGCCTAGACGTCTGGGCTGTGTTTTGACGACTATTAGACGTCTTTTAGACGCAAAATTGCTTGCTGGGTTCAGCCCTGGTTTTTGTTTTTCTTGTTCATACACACTCACACAAGCACACATTTTGTTGTCATTGTCATTGTTTAATAAAAAATATTTTATTTGAAAACCTTCATTTGTATCAGTCTGTACACTAACCCAGAGCCATAGAGAAAAATCTTCACTCTGCACTTACCTACCCAAACATAAAAGCGTAAATTCGTTTTTAATCTGTTATAGTTTGATAATATGTGTATGGCTTAATCTTAAAATTATATTCTTAGTCTTAACATGATCATGTTTCACGCTGACACTTTCATCAGAAGAAGTGAGCTAGCTTCTAAGCGAATTCTGAACGGACCGCCACTGCAGACCTCTTTGCGTGATCACGAAGGTAAGCTAATGGCTGAATCGGAATTTATAAGCAAAATCACAGGAATCAATAGCCTAATACAGCCCAGTTGTGCTAAAATAAATATCACGAGACGTACATTAACAGATGAATGATATGGAAAAGTTAAGTTAGAGCCGCTAAAGCCAGTGCTACCCCCCAATGCGAACATGAACACTAGCTTTTCCCTCCAGAAATATAGCCTAAAACTTATATTTCGTTGTCACCCTGCCTCTCTAAATGCAAAACTGACATTAACAAAATGCAATAACAGCTGAAAAAGTACTTGGGTGTGTGTTTATTTTACATTTACCGTTCAATAATGCAATCGCTGCTGTCTGTCCCTTAAAAGAACATGACAGCCAGCGTATGTTTTGGAACTATTGGGGCTTACATGAACCACGTGACAGCCATCGCGGCGACATCAAAGAGTGTCGCAACTCTTTCTCTCTATGGCTCTGACTCAAGTGAGATGTTTTGAATACAAATGTAGCAAACCAGTTTCAGATTGCTGGACTAGCTCACCTCTGGCATGGGAAGGGCCAAAGACAGGAGGAAGCTTGACAGACTGCGGTCGACTGGAGATCGTGGACTTTTCCCTCATAATAATTCTGTTCTGGCGAGCGAACTCCTGTTGATGATAAATCAGAAGAAGAAAACACCTTAATACTATGCCCAACATATGAATGCAGCCTTAATATTAATAGTAACCGATGATGGATGAAAAAACACATTCAATACCGTGATAGCCTTCTCAATGCCTTCTGGGTGTCTTTGAGGCGGTGGTCGTGGTGTCAGTCTAGGCCTGACTGAAGCACACACAGGTTGTGCAGTCTGAGCAGGACTGACGCATGTCAGGGGCCTGAGCTTGCGAAATGTATTGCCATACATTCTCTGATCTAAAATAGTATGCTGATCCAAAATCCTACAATCAAATAAAATTTGATGATCTGAAAGCATATACAGATCAGACCGCTGTAATGTGCAATGTACACAAGTTCTGGAAATGAACACAGAACACAAACGGTTATAAAACGGCACACTGAACAAAAAGCGTACACTGAATAAAAATGCAGATTCACTGTCAGATGCCGAATCGTACACTTAGCTGATTCAAAATTGCACAGTAATCAAAAGCTGAAGACTGATGCAAGAATCGTATAGCAACACTAAAACGCATAAAGCAAAGGGTCGAAAGTGAGTTTCAGTGAGAACAGCCTTTTAAGCCTTCAGTGCAGTGACGTGTGGAATAGAATGCATTCCGATGACGTCACGCAGCAGCGCTTCAGTGCCGCAGAATATGATTATTGTTTTGATTTAAAAATCTTAATGACGTGTGTGTTCTGTTTATATGGTTTCCACAAGAAGTCCATGAGAGGAATAAAGATTAGGTTACTTATAATAATGCCGGATAATAGGATATTTTGTGTCTAGGCTACACAAAAATAGCCTACAATACACAGGGTTCTTAATTTATTTGTAAATAAATAATCACCGGACCATAAACAGGAATCAAAAGACGCCGTGACCGACACTGACTCATTTAAGGTTTTTCCCGCAACATGCAATGCACAACTGCAGACAGTGGGCCAAGTCCGTCTATCTCGTTTAGTTTTTGATTTGATAGTTGCCCAGCAGCTGTCTGGCTCATTTTTTTAATTTGGCTGTATGAATAATTCACAAAAAGATTACCGATGGCTATTAGGTTTAGTGACAACATGTTACAATGTTTACATGGTACAAATATGTTTTCATTTTATTTGTATGGCTTGACACAAATTTCACGATTTCAATTCAATTCTTGTGATTTGATTCAATATTGACTCATTTGGATAAATATCAGGTACACAAAATAGGCGTTAATTTTTCTGAAGAAAAAAAAATCTCACCTAATGCCGTAAACATACAGAGGTTAAAAATAACTCAAATTAAATATAATGCATTTTTATTATAATAACAACTTTATTTAATGATACAAGTAAAAATATAATAAAAATATGTAATATAGTATTTTAAATATGTGTTATAGTATAACACATATTTAAAATATTCTCTATAGCTCTTTTTTCTAGACAACTAACGTGCTGTAGCCTATATTAATTGTATGGCTTTCCTGAAGTAAATTTTATGTGGCAAAATTGTTCTCCAGCTGTTTTATTGACATCTTTCCGCGGTTGAAAAACACTGATTGAACGATATTAGCCTATGTATGAGAAATATACATTTCAGTACAATTGATGCATATGTGCAAACCTGCTCTTATTTATCTATTTGTCATCTTATCTTATATTTTATTTAACAATTCATCAGCAAATGTTCAAGACAGACCTAAATAAAACACATGAGTAACTAAATAAATAAAAAATAAAGGGTATAATTTATGATTGTTTAACATATAACTGACACATTTTCCGGCTTATTTGATATTTACAAATTTCGTAGATTCAAAAAAGGGCTGTTTTTAAATTAGAAAAAAACTTGCGAATGTATTGATTGACTATAGAGCTAAACTACAATCTGAACAAATGATTGAATGCCAAATAATTTAATAACATCAAATAAATAAAATAAAGCACTACTGACAATAATCGGCATGTAAAATATGCTTTTATTCTGGAATTAGGAAATGCTGGGTTATAAACTGGTATCCAGCAATGTTTGTCAGTTGTCATCATGGACTATCGAACGAAGATTGTCATTATCACCCTACTTTACATGCGAAGCAGACGGCGCCATAGGTTCTGGGTACACCCTATACGCCAGTACCGCAGATCACACAGCGAGTAAATGGTAAATGGTAAATGGACTGCATTTATATAGCGCTTTCACAGACCCAAAGGCCACCAAAGCGCTTTACAATTTGCCTCACATTCACCCATTCACTCACTCATTCATACACCGACGGGCGAGTAGGTCTACTACCGTTTGGTACAGCAGCTTCGTTTTGACGATGTCTTGTTTCAGCGTTATTTCAGACTGAACAAGACCGAGTTTGATAAGCTGCTGTTCTGACACTGCGGTCACGCCATCTGTGCTTCAGAAAAGCACGGTCACGCCATCTACGCTTAAAAATATATTGCGCGTCTACACGAGGTTGTAGGCTCCTAATAAGAACCGGAACAGCAATTCGTATTTCCATTTTTGGCGTGCTATCAACACGCATAATCGCTTTTCAGCGTGTTTATCAACGCCTTTGACTTAACGTTATATTACTGTATTATGTTTAAATAAATATATGACCTACCCCAACCCCGTCCCTAAACCTACCCGTCACTGGGGTTAATACCATTTATGAGTGTTCTCCTACCATCCTAGGAAAAGAAATATCGCTCCACAGATGTAGATATAGATTTTGCTTCGTTTCGCTCGGACATTTAACGGCGTACACATACACGCGGAATCACTCGGACATTTAATGGCGTAGACATACACGCAAAAGATTTCGGCGTGGACATATACGTGGATAGTTCAAAATGCGTATAGATAACACGCCACTTGAATTGAAAGTGGCGTGTATGTTTATGCAAAGTCATGATGTCATGTTGCGAACAGATACAATAGGTGCCTCCGCACCTTCGGTGCTTGGCCCCTAATAATAAGAACCGGAACAGATACAATAGGTGCCTCAGCACCTTCGGTGCTTGGCCCCTAAATATAGCTGCAAGCAGCAATCACCGGGGCCAAGCGCAAAAGCAGACGACAAGACAAGCCAACATGGCTGGGAGTTTCAGACCAACTGCAGCAAGGAGCATAGATGAATTTTGGCAAAATGGCTGAAAAATCATATACATTAACTAAAAATATGATTTAATGGACTATCACTATCGACCAATAGGTGGCGCAGTTACGAAATGTATGTGGTCTGGTCAGAGTGAGGTGACAATGTTCATTTTCTAAATGTCAAGGTATTGCAGAGATAAAACCTGTGTTAAACAGAGCTTGACAAGATATCGGCTAAAGACAGAGAATAAACATGCTTCACACAGGTTGCAGTGAGAACACAGTCAATCGTTTATTGGTACAGGTGCAGTTTAAATAGAACATCACATGGCATGGACACATGACAAACACCTGAGAGGAATCCACAATAATTGGGAGCATACTCATTAACCAATCAATCAATTAACACCCCCACTTGCTCACACGTTATTCACAATCATTCACATTCAATCACAAAAAAAAAAAAAAAAAAAAAAAAAAAAAACATCATGAAAACCAACTGAATTACATCTTGGCTATAACCCAAACAGGAACGTGGAAAAGGTAAGTAGCTTTAATTTTGTAGCTGGTTTAGTCATTAGGTCAGCAACCATCTGATCTGTTGGGCAATACTCCAAAAACACTTCACCATTGTTTACAGTTGATCTCACAAAATGATATTTAATATCAATATGCTTACATCTCTGTCTGCTAACAGGATTCTTTGCCAATGCAATTGTACCTTGGTTGTCTTCATAGATCATAGGTACACCATACTGATAATCATCAAGATGTTCAAGCAATTGTGTCAAGTACAAACACTCTTGTATAGTGGCAGCCAATGCCATGTACTCAGCCTCACATGTTGATAATGCTACAGTTGG